CTGTGGAAACCTTCCCAGAGCAAAAAAATGAAACAAAGCATGATAGGTCTCAATGTGACCACTAGAGGTTGGCTGAGACATGACCTAGGGGAAAATGTGGCAAGCTAGAGAGAGGGTCATAGCCATGGCTGTTGTCTGTTTGGAATCCATGGCTTCAGCTATGGGAGAAGCAAGACCCTCTTGAGGTGTCGATGCTGTGAAACTGCACCATTGTAGGCTCCAGTTATATATATGTGTAAATAAACCATATATCATGAAGACACCACAGTCTCTACTCTGCCTCATTTCCCAATGGAAACAAAGTGCCAAGGCTAAGCATACCTGGAACTCCAGGAATCTCACACCACTTGAAGATTGGGGTGACATGTAACAGTAGGATAAGGCATTTAAGAGCTACCTGTATTTTGTATTGATTCTAAGTCAGAAGTGTATCGGTTTGTCAACTTTTTAATAGGCACTACCTTTAATGGAAATGTTCTCAATTAAGATGAGTAGCTTTTGTGCTTTTAATTTTATTCTCTGGTATTCTTCATTGGCACTTTAGAAATAGTATCATGCATGATGACATATTGCATATGTCCCTTGGACTCTTCTTTTTCCTGATATCTGTGGGAAAATTCAGCTCAGAAACACAAACTGTAGCAAGCCTGAGTCTATGCTATATGTAGAATCAAGAAATGAAAAGATTCTGCTCTGGCATAAAATACAGGGTCCTTCGGATCTTCTTATTGCTTGTTTGATGCAGTTGGTAGAAATTTTCAGTTCAATCAGCCACTGAACCTTCAAAGGCAAGGATGATGGGGGAGGAGTGGGTAAGACCTTGGTACATCAAAAACAAGCTTTTAAATAATAAGGAAGTGTCAAGCCAGGGATTTGTCCAGAATATTGAACATGGCTGAAAAGAATTTGTCCAATCTAAGATGTTCCAAAATGATTTTTTACATGCAACACAAAACTGGTTTCTAATACACAGAAGGCATTTTTCATTGTCACTTAAAAATCTGTTGTTCCTCTTATGAATCCAGCTGTTACGGTATAACTTCTGGAACTCTAGGAAGAGCTTGGTGAGAAAACTTAGAAAACAAAGAAGGCCTAAAAGTGATGAACATTTTAAATCTTGGGCATTGTGGAGTTTTCTTTATATGGAAATACTACTGAGTGAAACCACTGTCCAATTAATATTTATTTATGATTACTTTATTAATAATATGTATATACTATGTATATATCCCCAACCCATTTACACAAAACACAATAAGACCATTCAACAAAGAAATGCAGACCATCTTGGCTTGAGTCATTAAAGTCCTGCTCCCTGCCTTGTGGGTGTTTTCCCATCTGGCCTGGGAAGGCGTGGCCCTGATTTAAATTTCTATCCCTAGACTGTTGACTAATAAATGTGTAGTTTTACTGAACTACAGTACTCTGGGCTCCAGACCAAGAGTCGAAGAGTACAGAATCACAAACAAAGGCACTTGGGAGTTTTGGAAGTCACTTGGTGCAGATGGTACAGATCTAGTATAATATTCAAGGCAAGTCTAAGTTAGGAATCCTCAGGCTGTTAATGAAAATACTGAAGTCCTCCTTATTCTAACAATCAAAAAGATTGTGAAGGCTGAATGTTTATGAGGGAGTTCAGATGGCCCCATCTCGCTGAATGTTTATGTGGGAGAAAGAGATGGGAGAAATATTAGGTTCCAAAGGCACCAGAGCTTCTAGGTAAATAGATTTTCAGTATTGAAAAGACAGTGGAAAGCCTTGGGGAAAGGCCCTTTTTATTAAGAAAAGAATAATCTCATTTTCATTGTATTGCTGGCAGTTCCACTACCCTTCTGTCCATGTCTGTGCACCAGTTCTACTCCTCACCTCAGCTGATGCATTCTTGACAGGATTATGTAGACACCACAAGTCATAATTTCAGACTTTTATTGAGGCAAGTAAAATAAATATGGAGGGTCAGTTCCTGCCACAGGTATAATGTGGCCTGATTTGGGGATTTCTATGAACTAGTCAATGCACAGAGGAAGTCAAAGGTGAACATCATGAATTTTTTTTGGGGTGGGGGGTTAAGATTTGGTCAATAACTTTTCTTCCACATCAGCACACATACCACCACAGGCAGATCATTCATTTCTAACTTTCCACCCCCCTCTATGAGAGAAAAGGAGAACTAAATGATACTGTCCCAAGGCGAAAAGAAAAATCTACAGAAACTGTGTAACCGGAGTAGTACTGAGTATTTGCCTGGAAAAATCTATAATCCTATGAATAACTGAATCTGTTGAGACAAAAGAAAGAGTGGGTTCTGGTAAAAGAATCCAGGATGCTTTAGAGGCCTTTGGCAGTAAAGAGTCTAGAAATATTAATATATGCTAATACATTCAGGAGCAGGGCCTGCCAATATTTTCATCCTCTGAAGATAGCTCTGAAATGTGTTTGGGTTGGCACAAAACTGAAGGCCTATGAGATTTTGCCTTCATCAAAAAGTTGGATTTTAGAAACCCAAATGATGACATTACCACCAGAGCTATGAATCTAAAAGAAAGTTTTCCTCAAGGTGTGGTGGGTGGGTATGTTTTGGGTGGGTATATTACCCTGCCCTTCTAATGCATGCAGATCACTCAGGGAAGCTTACAAAGTCACTGTAAAACCACATATCAATTACAACGCAACAGATGCAGGCATAACAGTTCAAAACAAACTTAAGATAAAAACGTTACGTGTCCATCGTTACATGGCCATCAATACAAAAGCCTACAGGACTAATGTGTGGGGGGAGGGAATCCACCCTATTTACTTGACAGTGAAAAATGGTTAAAGAAGGGGTCATCCAAACTTCATGGGGCAAGGTATTCCACAGTTTGGGTCTAGCTACGGAGAATGCTCCAAGACTTACCTAGCCTTGGTCCCTGATAACTTCTGATGCCTGTGCAATACAGATGTTTATTTCAGCCAGCTGGTACGTGATACCTATGTGGTAGATCAGCTACCCATATTACTGCTGTGCAAAAATCGGCCCTCTAGTTTCTTGAAAGTTTTCTTCTCCTATGATAAGAGTTTTCATTTTCTGCCGCCTTCTCAGGACACATAAAAAGGTCTTTAGAATATCAGTGGGTGCAGGATTTTGAGCTTACCTTATCATTGTGATGTGACTGAGGGTGACATGTCTGTTTTTCTTTCCAGTAAATATTTGCTAGCACACTGCAACCAATTGGGCTGCCTATAGATACTGATATGAAAAAGCCCCATGGAAGGAGTTACCTCGTACTGTCATCCTCTGGCCTTTAATTGAAGTGTGGGCACCTGGAACACTATAGAATGCAAACCACCGGTGGGAAGATTTGAAAAATAAGTGAAAAGAGACTCGCTCCTCAAACACCTCAACAGTAAGGTAAGTGCCACAAAAATTCTGCATGTCACTTATGTGCATTTTGCCATTTCCTCCTCTCCCCTTTAATATTTTTTTCTCATTAATTGGTGAAGAATGTTTAAAGAAGAGAAGAGAGAATTTTTTTGGCACAGCATTAAACCATCTTAGTGTATCAGCAGGGGCTATTGGCCTCTTTTGGTGTTTAGTTTCTTAAAGAGAGTTTCATTATTCACTTCCTCATCAATAACAGTGTCATTCAAAACTCCAGGACAGAAGCATCTGCTTAACTTCACCACCAACACCAAAGGGAATGAAAAACAATGACCGTTCAGAGAAATAAGATTGCATTATTCTCAGGGAGGAAAGTACATACACAAGAATAATGAATACAGAGCTAGTGTTCTCAGGCTAGACAAATGTGAATTGCACTCATTTCTGAAAGGAATGACTCCAAAAGCAAGGCGGTGAGCTCTGGAGCCTCGCAAAGGTTTTCTTTTTTCCTATGTGAAGCACAATCTCTGCTGTGTGGCCCAGAAATTAATTACTTTCTAAAAGGAAAGCATACAAATGAAGAAGAAAAAAGATGCTACAAACAATACTTCAGAATTAAACACACACACACACACACACACACACATAAAAATAAAGGTAGCATTGACCCATGAAAAAAACTCCAAAATCAGTATTAGGGGAAATATCTTTATTAGGCTAACTGAAAGGTCACAACTGTCATGTATGCATTATCAGGTAAATACCTGGCATATGTTCCTTCTAAGTGAAGCAGCTATGACTCAGGAGGCAAGCTCCTGGAGAGGTGATTCAAAGGTGTGGCCTGGAGGGAGTTTGTTTAACTCAGCTTGTTGTGAGTTTCTGCATGAACATCTGAAGGCAACACAACAACCTAGTGTGCAACCTTTCAAATTCCTCAAAGCTCTTATTCAGGCTAGATGTTATATAAAACTGGGTAGAGCAGAATGGTTGATGGTGAAGTCATTGGGTCAGTCATCTGGTCAGTCTTAAGGGGAAATGTGGGAGAAGGTAGACACCTAACAGTTCCATTTACTGTTATTACATTTTGGGGTGGTGTTAGCTGCTACTGGAGCTATATGCTTCTCCTTACCCATACCAAGAGATGCTGAGAGACTGGCAGATTGGCAGCCATCCATGTTGACGGTAGGCATGGCTCTTGTGGATCGATGAGGGACACAGTTTGGATGAGAGCCTGCTTTTGGTATGGGAGTTCCATATCACTGGGGGCTAAGAAGCTGCATTAGTTTGTTTGGAGAGGGAGCGAAAAAGGTACATTTTAATAATCCTACTGAAGGCCAGAAGTTACTACTGAATTATAAGGAGCTATTGGGTTGCACTTCTGGAACTTACTTCTGTTTCTTTTCCACAACAACAGGCCACAGTCTCACTTGGCTCAAACTTGAAGGTTTATTTGTCAATAAGATCCTAGATGATAACTTTGGGATAACCAGCCTCATATAGCAAACTTGCTTGAGTCTAAATAATGCATGAAGGGGTTAATGCCATAGAGTATGCTGTCCTGCCAGGCTCAGCTAGGTCACCCCCCCCCTCATCCTGGAAGGAAGCAAGTCAAGCCTATTGTTCCCTCAGTCTACCATGTGACCTCCAGCATGTAAGGCAGTCTGAGCTGGTTGTTCCAAGCTCAGACCATTTGACCTTTTCACAAAGGCATCATTGGATTCCAATACCAATAATTTAGGAACTTTCACCACTTTCAAACTAACTTAAGTTTTACTGCCTGTGTTTTCTGAATGCTGTGTGAAAAAGCCCATGAATCTGACCTTTGCAGAATTTGTAAGTAAATTATTTTTAACTTACCAAACATGCAAGTTTCTATGCTGAGGAAATTGGGAAACTTTGGAAGGAACTTAGAAGGGCATACTTTAAAGGTCTACTAGCCTATATTTTCACACTTTATTTTGCTGCTTGTTTGGCCAAGGAATTTTCCTTTTTATACCTTTCTTTTTCCTTGCCGCCCAACAATAAATACCAAGAGGTGTTGTGGTGGACGTGTGTTCTATGCAACATGGAGAAAGCAACTTAAGGACTGCTAAGATGACAGTGATGTGGACGGATCTGTTGGGAAGCCTGGGCCTTGACATGAGAGGAAAAGCACACTTCCAGCATTGTATCATACTTAAATAGAAGTTCAGTTCTTCTTTCTTCCAGACAGAAGAGGAAATAGTGTTTTATCTTTGAGCACTGGGTTGTGTAAGTTGGCCTTCCTTGAATCTTACTAGGTGTAAGTCTTAAAACAGAGATTTTGATTGGGAGACTTTTAATATATTCCAGTGCTATAATGTAGAATCAATTCACATTACAGTGTGACATGGCAGTGTCTCCTATGAGGTTTGATCCCTCATCAATAGAAAGGAACCATGCCATTATAGTAGCTGTCAGTTGGAAGATAGCTCCCAAATTATGAGATTACCACTACATGACTGGGTTAATTGTTGGAAACAGCCCATAATAATACCATTTGAAGAATTCTTCCTCTGGACAAGTGAGTGGACCAGATATCCTTCAGAGCCTTTCCTACGTCTCAGTTCTCTTGTAGCCTTTTCTCCCAATATTAGTTAAACAGCAATTAGGCTATAGGAGTTACCAAAGCTATCTTCCTTTCCCTACAGTTTTGTATTTTTTAAAAAAGCAAGCGCCAACCAATATGTATCCAAAAATACACTTCCATATGGTATGCAGTGCAAAGAGCCATGACACTGGGCTCAGCATATTTATTTTTCTCACTGCTCTGCTGAATACTGTATTATTCAAGTTTGGCAAATGTATACATGAGAAGATCAAAGCCTAATCTTGGCTTTCCTTGCTACTTTCTGGTTTGGGGTGCTTATGTTAATCCTCCTTAAACTAAAGTGGTCAGAGATTTGAGAGATGTTTGAAACATAAAATAAATTCTAACCTTGACATGGATTAGGCTTGCTATATGACACATAACAGTCATGCAGGACTAACATTATGGAAACAAGTACTGTAGAGGCCAGTGTAAGTCGCAGAACTGACAAAGGCGATTTTTCTCTTGGGGGAAGAAATAGGTGGATAAATTTGGTTTAAAGGAAGTAAAGTCTCCCTTGATGAATCTATAGCTTAACATTTTTGCAAGGTTATTGCTTATGCATGCTCAATCCCCCCCCCTTTCTTTCCTTATCCAGTAAACACAGCAATATTTAGAAGATGGAAAATCCACTGTAAAATTCCATTCTTTTATTTTCTATAAAGCAAGGCTGCATTGGCAATATAATTATAGATTGTACCTCCAGCAATCAGTGTACATACAGATTATTTACAGCCGCTTCTGCACAAATTTACTCAGAAGCAAATCTCGTTGTGGGATTTATAGTAAATCAGTGGGATTTACTCCCAAGTAAATGCATTTAGGATTGTAGCCTGACAGCCCAATACTATGCATATTCAATACATTCCACTGAATTAAAATGGTTTTTACTTGTATGTAAATGCACACAGAATCACAATGTTTCAAAAGGAAGGAATACTCATTTAACTGAAGGCCAATCCTGAAATAACATTATATAATATTGGGCAGGCTTGTTATAAGAATTTCAGTTAAGAATGCAACCACATTCTGCTAAAAGTGGGATTTTGATTTCAGACACATGGCTCCATCAAAGCAGAATAGCATCCTTAAATTGCCAACAGACTTATCAAAATTTGCATAGCTTTTGATGAATTTACTGCACCTTCATCCAGAAAGTGATCTATTGTTTTGAGCACCATAGCAACAAGCATACAGTACTGTACTAGGCATTTTCACACTCTCTTCATTTCAGAATATTTTAACCCACTCATGTCAAACTACCTCACGTCCAGGCTCGAATGAAGCCCGTGTTTCTGTGAAACCCCAAGTCAAGCACACATACTATGAGCCAACTGTTGGCTGCATAAGCTGCTGACTCCTTAGCACAGAACTGCGTTAACTGTGTTTGCAAAAACTGGTGCTTGGCCTAGTGATACAATACATGGTTTGGCATTTCACATGGGTGGAGTGAAAACACCCCTCCGATACTGGATTCAGTGAGGTGGGTATCTCAGAATGTGGAGGGTTATTTTTAAATATGAGATGGCTTATCCTTCAAGGTGAAATTTATTTTTAATAGGAGGGGAAACACACCTTGCCAGTACTTCAAGGTACGCTGCCCTCAGAAGGCCCAACAATTTTCCCTTTTAATCTGTGGCATTATGCTTCATTGCAATGAAACTGCTAGAATCCTATAAGCCGTGTCCAGATGTTTGTTTATTTACTTGGAAGATGCTTAACTTTGCTCTTCAACAGAAAAGGCTCCCAAAGCAGCTTATATGGAGTCAAGTAAAGCTCGGGGAGGTCCGTTGTCTAATACCCTGGAGAGCCACTGCCAGCCAGCATGGACTGTGCTGAGCTAGCTGACTACATATAAAGCGGCTTCCTATGTTTATAAGACAGTCCCTGCCAGCAGGCTGACAATCAACAAGGCAAAATATTCCAGAGAAAAGAGATATTCTTTGAACATTGCAAAAATAGAGAGAGATAATGTGTTTTCTTCTTCCTGAAATTCCTATGCAAGTTTTAAGTGGAGAACATGTTTTCACAGATGATTTTGGATATGGTGACAAAAGTATGCAAAGGGAAATTTGACTCCCTAACATTTTCGTTCCCTTTGATTTTCCCTGACACCTGAATTTGCCCTGGGGTATAGCTCCACAAATACTTCCTCTGGCTTTTCTTTGTCTTCTGGTGTTTGACAGCTCCAAGCTGGGGTAGAGATATAGAGCCTGCCTTGACTTCTCTGTTCCTAAAAACACCAACTTCTAATTATGGGGCAGTATGTGCATGCAGAAGGGGACGCGGGTGGCGCTGTGGGTTAAACCACAGAGCCTAGGACTTGCCGATCAGAAGGTCGGCGGTTCGAATCCCCGCAACGGGGTGAGGTCCCGTTGCTTGGTCCCAGCTCCTGCCCACCTAGCAGTTCGAAAGCATGTCAAAGTGCAAGTAGATAAATAGGTACCGCTCCGGCGGGAAGGTAAACGGCGTTTCCGTGCGCTGCTCTGGTTCGCCAGAAGCAGCTTAGTCATGCTGGCCACATGACCTGGAAGCTGTATGCTGGCTCCCTCGGCCAATAAAGTGAGACAAGCGCCGCAACCCCAGAGTTGGTCACAACGGGACCTAATGGTCAGGGGTCCCTTTACCTTTACCTTATGTGCATGCAGATATCTCTAATGCACTGTTGTGTGCCACCTCAACCTCTGAATGGTGCAAGATTCCAGGGGTTCCAGGCATACCTACACAGGGTCTGTGCTTCCTTTTGGTAATGAGGCACAGTGGAGACTGTTCTGTCTTTATTGATATATGCTTTATTTATACATACGGATATGCAACCTGAACCTATGATGGAGGAGTTCACAGCAATAACACTCCAAGAGAATCTTGTTGCTCCCACAGACACAGCTCTGGATTCAAAACAAGAATCAGCCATCGTGCTCTCACCCTCTCTTGCTGATTTTAACACCCTGCCACCTCCCCCCCCCCCAATGTCACATCACAGCAAATTCAACTCTCAAGACTCTACTTTAAACTCTCATTTTGTCTTCTAACTCTGAGTTGAGGGATGTGTCCCTCTCATTTGCCAGCTGGTTCAGAGACCTGTCTCTTCGGCTTTCCTAATGACTCATCACCTTCCTTTTGTCTTCCTATGGCCCATCACCCCAGGCGATCTCCTGGTCTGGAAACTGGTCTGCCTTATATCCTAGACCTAGGATTTTAGGGGAGTCTGGTACCCACAACCTCAAAACAGTATTGTAGCAATCCTTCATAATCCTAGGGTTTTCTTGTTGCTGTTGTTGTTATTGGAGAATTTAAAAGCAATTGTGAGAGAAAGATCTTATTGCTTTTAAAGCACATATTTCCAAATTCAAGGCCTCTGGTAATGTTTCCAATTATCTGTAGTAAATGTGCATTTTCTTCACATTAGCTTTTTCTTCCTGTTCTGTAAAGCTCAACCGCCGATGTAATTTTTAGTTGACATAAAAGAAATGAGAGCTATTTTCAGTCAGACCTTTTGTAGGATTATGATGGAGGCTCAAATCCCATCACTCCCGCTTTCATAAATGTTTCCATTTGGGACCTCAGCTAATAAAATATTATTAACCAATACCTCTAAAATAGGACTTCAAATACTCTTTGTGCTAACCATTTTTGTAAACATCAGGGTGTTTTGAGATGGCTTTGCAAGTACCAGTGGTAGCGATCCTCTCCAGCAGAGTAGATTTAAGTCTTTGGGGTGCAGGGAGCATGACACTCTTCCACAATTTCTGTTGATGCATTGGCTATGGACAGCCACCTACTCTTGAACCGGGTTGCCTTCAGTGAACCTGGAATAAATTCATATATTGTGAATTGGCTCTGATGTGCACTCATAAATGCTCATGAAAGTCACTCGAGTGAGCAGCATAATGTTGGGAAAACATACTCATGGTCGATACAAGAGCAGCTTCTGTGAATGCAGTGCTTTGGATTTGCTGAAATCCCCATAATGCCCAGGGAATTCTCCTTGGCATTATAACTTAAACAAATAGTTATGTGCCCGTGACTAGATCAATGCATGTAAATCAGCTCGGGGTGTGTGTGTGTGTGGATTGGGAGTGCTTAGATGCTAAGGAAGGAACCCCATGTTTATATCTGAGTTTGACAAGGCACATTAAGAGATGATGCCATAGTTCCATGAGAAACAGGTGGAACTGCCTGTGCCCTTCCCCACAGACAATGGCCCAGAGCTTTGCAGGATACTTATAGAGTGGTAACTATGCAAGAACACAATTTCAAAGCTGTTGCAAATGCAGAATCAGTCTTGGTGCCGTAGTCCTGCTTAGCCGCTTAACTCTTTCAGCAGGACACTCACAGTGGTGTAACGAAGCGGCCTGTTTGCCACTGTTCCTGAAACACAGTATGGGATGTGTAGACAGCTGTGAATGCATACAACTCTGTATTCCTACATCTAAACAATAAAGGTGATATACCTTTTCCTACTCATGTAGCTTGCCGTTTAGGGCTGGGTTAAGACACATGTCCACGTAGCCCCTGTAGTTTAAATAATGCCTGACTATGGTTGCACTGACACTATATACAAATGGGAGTGTTCATTTACTTGCTGAGTTAAAAGGTGGCCTTCCAAGACTGAAGTGTATCAGGGCTGGCTCTGCCATGCAGCAGGGTACAGCAACCTACTTCAGGTGGCCCCCATAAAAGCAGAGAGGAATAGATGAAGATAGGCACAGCATGAATGGCACAACAATGCTTTTGAAAGAGCTGGTCATAGGCCTCAGGCAGGGAAATACATTGAACTGTCACTGGACTGTAAGTCAACAGTGAAGACTGGGCTCAAGAACTGTGCACATTTCAGAGATGTAGCTGTACAGTGAACTTTGGGAGGGACACTGAAAGCCTGTAGGTCCACATTTCAGTTTAGGTCTAGACCACTGTGGAGTCTGGGTCCAATCCAAAATGGCCTGTCATCCACAAGCCCTCCCAACTACCTCTTCTCACTTGCTTAATCAGATCATTCTGGGGAGCAGTGAGATGGAGGTGAGCTCCTAAAAAACCACTGACGTATCACAGCAGCATCCATGGAGGCCAAGAAATATGGAAAAATTGTTCCCTGCCAAGCATTGATGTCCAACGATTTAATCAGCACCAGTCCTTCCACTAGGCAGAATGAGGCAGTCACCTGACATAGCAGGTGCTGAAGTGGGTGCAAGACATGATGGAGAAGTGTCAAAGAAGAGGGTTGTTGCCTGCTCAGCACTTCTTGAGATAACCTGCTGCCCATAGGTATAGTGGAGGACATTGTCTTTTTGCAAGCATTTAAATAAGATTGAATTTCCAGTCTAGCTGGGCTCCTTATGGCAACAATAGGTCTAGGGACCAGTCATGGATTTCATGAATATATTTTTAAATGTGGGAGCTAAGAACCCTCTACCTAAACAATGTAAGCAAAGCTTTCTGCTATACACCAATATTCTTAACCCACAAAAGAAACAGAAGGTGGGAAGGGAATCTCCCAAACTATATTTGGCAGGGGGGAAATAAACTTGTCAATACCCCATTGAATGGGAATGGAAAATCAGCTAAAAACATGCAAATAATTAAATCTTCCACATACACCCAAAATCAGGATCTGTTTCCAATTATTCATGAACAAAGGGAGGGCTGGTTTGTCAGATAATTTATTCACACCATGTAATTCATCCAGATCCAGTTGTGAAGATTAATTAGCAAAGAGCTTTGAGGATGAAAAGCTTGGTAAAAGTGCTAAGTGATATTAATCATTGTGATTAGAATGTAATTGTTTTTTTACTCCTCCTCTGATGTGACATAAAGCTCTAATTTGAGGGGAAAGTCACTATTTAAATAAGTTATTTAAATAAGATATTTACCTGCACTGTGTGTATTATATTATCCTAGGAAGAGTCCCTACTGTGCTCAGTTTAGGGACTTTTGCAGAATAAAACAGCGTGCTGTTCCAATTCCGACTTCATTGGCAGCGAATACCTGAGTCTTGTTTCCAATTTCTGCAAGCATTCTCCACTCCCTGTACCAGCCATGCATGGGGGGGGGGAATGGGTACCCTTTTCCTTTTGTTTCACCATCTTTCACCTGAAATTCAGAATCAAAATACCATACTGGAGAAAAACTAGAGCATACATTAACTCCCGTTTAATAATGGCTATATTCAGACACAGAATATACTGCATTACCTGGTAGCATGTAGTCAGCTCTCAAATATGGTTACATTTTCTGAAAGTGGAGCAATTTGTTGGAGAATCTCTGTTATGGTTTTTTTATATGCTGCTTTGGGGCCCTAAGTTCCCCAAAGCCATAAACAGCGTGTCAATACAAAATAAAGATAATACCAATCAAAACAATAGAAAACAGTGAAATCACAAGCTACCCACCAATTACACTGGGTATGTGTTTGTAAGCAGCATTCCTGTTCACACCACACAAAAAGCTCCCCAGATTTCCATCTCTCCCCAGCATTTCGCCAGGCTAACTCACATCCCCGCAGCTCATTGGCTGCTCTCATCTCTCACTTTGAAGCAAGCGAATGGTCCTACCAGAGTATCATTCCCATTTATTATTTATCCTGCATTTCCATCCACTAAGCACTTTACAATAAATAAACATTTATTGTGCTCTAAGTGCGGAGTGTTATTTATATTGCACTTACCTATTCTAAGCAAATTACAATATATAAACGTTCACAATGAATTTACAGTATATAAAAACGTAGTCTGTGGGAATGTGGTTTGTCCCACTTTGGAGTACTGAAGTGAAACACTGCATTGCTATAAACTCTGTGTGCATGTTTGTGTGGGTGCATACACACCAGACATTGAAAGGCCCCTCAAAATAACTGTAGTTTACTGCTCAAAGGATGCTCAGAAGCCCGAACAATCTACAGTTCCTAGAATTCCTTGGAAGGATCAGTCACTCACTATTTACAAAACCCACAATAAGATATACCTTAATTAGGCCAATAAAAACAAAATAGCACTAAGCTTTTGAAGAGTCATTCAGTATCCTTCATCAGACTAGAACTAGATGGTTAAACAAATGAAGGGGGGAGGATATTGACTGATGGTAGCACTACATGAGACTTCTGCAGGGGGAGACTTTGGTATTATGGTGCCCTGAATGGGGATAAAATTTAGCGCACACACCCTTAAATATTTCTGATTTTCACAATAATTCATTTTGCTACAGTTGCTTTTTAATGGATCTTATCAGTAGGTATCCAGATAAATATATGTTGTTGTTGTTGTTTTGCCCCCTCTTGGCTCTGCGCCCTGTGCAGTGGAACCACCTGCCCTAAATCCAGCACTGGCTTCTGCATCTGGTAAAAGTGTTAAGACAGAATGTGAGAGATGGAAACAGACATTCAAATGAAGCTCCTTTAAGGTCTACTGGGAGGAAGAATTATAACAATGGCTTATTCTCCCACTCTGGGAATACAAAAACATGACAGTTACCCAAGTCTATCCTTAGGCAAAATACACAGGTTCCTTGATACTTAGGTGGATTTTTTAAAAAAGAAAGGAAGGAAGGAAGGCATTTACCTTTTTCTTTCTGTAAACAAAAAAATTTGGATTTTGGATTTTATACAATATGTGGGTGCTTTTTGGGAGCCAAAGTAATGGTACCCCCCCTCCCCCAAATCACCTGATAAGCAATGCATGTTTACATGTCAAGACAACAACAAAGAACTGTCTTGATTTTTGTCACTATGTTGCTTTTTTGTCTCAGGCAAAATGCTAACATATTGCAATAGGGGAGAAAAGTCCCCTGCTTTTTTCTTTTTAAACCGATACAGGAAAACAGACTTCCCCTGACACAACACACATGGCTTTGTTTGGAGACATTTTACTATTGCAATATGCACGAAATTTAGCAATGGATAAAAAATATATATCCCCCAAACCATTTGTGCTGTACTTTTTTCATGTGTCTGGGTTTCTGTTAAACCAATTTAAGCCTGTGCTGTAGAGCCGCCTGGAGTGTTCTTTCTACAGCCTAATGGGAGAAAGCAGGGGTTGGCGAGGAGAGAGAAGGAGAAAAGGAACTTGCTATGGAAGAATAGCTTTCCTTGCTGCCTTATTCTCTTCTTTTGATGAACGTAGCAATAAGAATGGATAAATATTGTGCTATTTTATTTTCTTGACACAATCTTTCTAACGTGAACGAGGCAGTATTTCTTGCTGCCTCGTGTCGCTCGTGAATTACAGAAACCTGCTCTGCAGATTTGACCTTTTCTGTAGGCTGTATTTTGGATAGATGGGCCTTCCACTCCATTTTATCAGACTCACTTAACTAGCAGAGAAGGGATAGAAATATTTAAGTAGGAGCAGTTGAAGATGCATTACTAAAAAGCTTCAAAGCGTAGGATGTTATTTCCCAGGACATATTCAGCATTAACATCCTGCTATCTCTCTGGAGTTGAGATAACAGAAAATTGTGCTACCCGGAAACCACAATTCTCATACTAAAGATTGAAACAGCAAAGTGGAACACTGTGGACTTAAGCTAGTTCATCCCGTATTGCTAAAATGAGGCATCTTAGATTCCTCTTGGATGGAAATGCAAAGGTATATCTTTTTCTTAGCATGAGTTGGTTTCACAATATAGTTTCCTTATTAGCTGAAAAGGAAGCTCAGCCATATAGAATGGTTTATTCAAGGACGTAATTGTAATTTGCCCTGTTCATAGCATAAGATGCATAATATGCTGGTTTGGCCATTTCCTGCCTAGGAGTTTGCCTGAGAACTCTTTGCAAGTTGCCTTGACTTCCGTGGAGGAAAGGGGGCATGTTTAACAATAGAAATAATGAATCTTATATGGTAGTCCTTGATTTGACAACATTTTTGTGGTGGGATTTCTTTTTCCTTTTAGCTTCCCTTAAGCTGCTGGAGAATTTCGACCCACCTCTGGAAAATATCTGGCAAAATGGCCTCCACAGTGTTGCCATCTGGGTGCAAATATGAATCCAGTTTTCATATTGTTTCATATTATTTTAATATTGTTAAAGGAAGCAATGGGCTTGTCTTCTGCTGTTCCCAGTCCTCCTCTTGTAGCTTGTTGTTTTCTTTGCCCAGTAACATGAATTTAAAATAGATTTCATTCAACATGAATGTCCTTTTCAGGAAATATGCCAATACTGCATCCAACATCCCCATGCCTTAGGGTTGCCATATGTCCTCTTTTTCCAGGACACATACTCTTTTTCATGGGTATGTAAAATGAGAGTTGTCATAACGATCCATAATTAAACGTTGTTGTTGTTGTTTAGTCATTTAGTCGTGTCCGACTCTTGGTGACCCCATGGACCAGAGCACGCCAGGCACGCCTGTCTTCCACTGCCTCCCGCAGCCTGGCCAAACGCATGCTGGTAGTTTCGAGAACACTGTCCAACCATCTCGTTCTCTGTCCTCCCCTTCTCCTTGTGCATCTTTCCCAACATCAGGGTCTTTTCCAGGGAGTCTTCTCTTCTCATGTGGTGGCCAAAATATTGGAGCCTCAGCTTCAGGATCTGTCCTTCCAGTGAGCACTCAGGGCTGATTTCCTTCCGAATGGATAGGTTTGATCCATGGGACTCTCAAGAGTCTCCTCCAGCACCATAATTCAAAAGCATCAATTCTTCGGCGATCAGCCTTCTTTATGGTCCAGCTCTCACTTCCATACATCACTACTGGGAAAACCATAGCTTTAACTATACGGACCTTTGTCGGCAACTTCTAGTTAAACATAGAAGTTGGCAAACGTGTCCTCTTTTTTGCTTTTCAAAATATGGCAACCCTACCCATGTTTAACAGTTAATCCCTCTTCTGAGGGAACTCTGAGGCATTGATGGCCACCAACATGGGTGGCTTAAATTTTTGGGGGGACAAATTCATGTAGGACAAGGCTTTCAATGACTGCTTGCCGAGAGGGCTATGCTCTGCCACCACAGTTGGAGGCAGGAATGCTTCTGCACAGGATAAGAGTGTACTTTTATGCTTGGGAGATGCTTGAGGGCTTCCCACGGACATCTTGGTGGCCACTGTGAGAGCAGGATGTTGGCCTGGATGAGCCATTGGCCTGATCCAGCAGGCTCTTCTTGTGTTCTTATGGCTCTCGGCCATCTTTTGCTCGATGGGGTTAATAACTCTGGCCTATCTTGCAGAGTTGTCATGAGTATTACTGAGATAATTAGTACTGTGCCAATATCTATCCTCCAATTTCTCAATAGTTTTCTTCCCTAGCAAATTAAGCTTCTGGAGGGCAGGACTTGGACCAATGGTTTCAAGTTGCAGGAAAGGAGATTCCGACTACACATACGGAAAAAAAACTTTATGGCAGTAAGAGCTGTTTGACAGTGGAACAGTCTCCCTCGGTAGCTTGTGGACTCTCCTTCCTTGGAGGTTTTTAAGCAGAGGTTGGATGGCCCTCTGTCATGGATGCTTTAGCTGAGCTTCCTACATTGCAGGGGGTTGGACTAGAAGACCCTTCGGTCCCTTCCAACTCTACGATTTTATGATTTTCCTGCCAAGTCCTCAGTGCACTTGAGCTGACCTTATCACTGTGAGGTGGCCAAGAGTGTTGTGTGTTTCTTTATTTTTCTGGCACCCTGAACTTCCTGTGTTTTCTGATTTGAAAAGTTCCATGGAGGGATTTTCTTCTGGGCTTTAATTGGAGCACAGGCACCTGGGAGGGCTATACAGTGCAGACCCTACCTACCCTTGAGAATTTCACTAAGAAATATCTCTCCTATGGTAATTTTGTTTGTGATTTCTTTTCATTTTAATTGATGGGAAATGGGAGAAAAAATGTGGGAGACATTTTTGGCACAGCACTAAAGATAATATTTGAAGCACTTTGAGACTTCTACGATTGCGGTTCCAAGCACACACTTACCTGAGAGTAAGCCTCATTAAACTCAGCAGGTCCTACATCTGAGTAAACATGCACAGGCTTGCACTGCACAGCATGGTTTAAATGCTAAGGATTATTAATTTGTCACTGTCTCCACAGGGCACATGGATTGGGGGAGAGAAGGAACATGCTGTATTAGCTTCAAGGAGTATGTGAACGCCAGCAGAAAATGTAGTGTGTGCAAACTGTTTGTGACCAATCAGTACAATATTACCACTTAGAAATGCTAATGATTAAATGGTATGTAAATGTCTTAAAATAAATAAACATTTCATAGGGTGATTCCATACTGCCTCAAATCAAAATGCACTGTAGTCTGTTCAGTTATAATAAGCAAAATGTAAAAAAGACAAGGAAGTGATATTTTCCCTCATTAAGCCCTAGAATGAACTGCTAGATATCGTTTTTCCAGATCTAAAAGCCACAGGAAAGACCTTTATATGTGAGCAAATTTGCTGCACACATTCTCTAATTCCTTGTAAACCAAAAGCAAACAATTTAATCCCTATGTGCTTCTTGTTTGCCAGGGGGAGGCAGAGAGTCAAAATTAACTGTCAAGCTCCACATGGACAAACAGATAAAAAGAAAAAAAGAAAATCTCTCTCTCTAGTGTGTGTGTGTGACAGGTGAAGGCATAGAAACCTGGAATAACGATGGGGCATGCCAAATATGCTCTCTAGTCCTTAATGTACATGGTGTGTCTTTGATTTACTTGTGTGTGCACTTGCATGTGTGTTTGCCCACAAACATATTGTTATTATTTTGGGATGGGGAAGTAGGCTGTATGCAGGGACACTTCTAAACCCTGGATCTGGCAAGTGCTAAAATTAGGCTAGCTTCTGTTGAGGTGATTGCCTGGGTGGTATGCCATTAAGAGAAAGAAGGGAAAGAGGTTCTGTGTGAGAGAGCAAATGTGTGGGCCCCCCTCCCAGCTACTGGTTAGTTTGAAAAACAAAATGACAGAGTAGAGTAGAGAGGTGAGTGACATGAGCCAGAAGCTAGATGCAAAAGCGGCAGGCTGGAAAGGCACACAGAGAGAGAGCCAGGCTTGATTTCTGCTGGAATTCAAGGCTGTGGCTATGGGAGAAGCATGACACTTTGGGGTATTAATGCTGTGAACCCCTCCATTGTAGGCTCAGGTTGTCTATATGTGTAAATAAACCATATATCATAAAGACACCACAGTCTCCACTGTGCCTCATTCTTAAAGAAAACACCGCTCAGAGATTGGGGTAGTGTGCCACAATACGTATAATATTACAAGCATACTATGAACAATAAAACATTACCCTATGGACAACCTTGTATGCACATCACTTAGAAAAGATAAATAATTATTTGAATCATTCCTGTGTGACACACCAAGCTGACCACAGCCCTCTTAACAATTGATTTGTGACAAGAAATTGTCTCTACAAAGCAAGGCAGGCTACGCAAAACTGGAAGTTTGTTGATTTCCTAAAAAGTTTATATCCATGACTGAAGGTCTGCTTTTGGTTAGATGTGTCACAAAATGTGCTGTTCTGCTTTAATATATGTATAAATTTGTGACCTCACTAGTATGTTGGTTTGAATTGGGATGTGGGTTGATGCCTCTTGTGCCCATGATCAGCTGAGAGGTGGTCAGACTCGTCAACATTACAGTGAAACAGCCCATTGGCCAACAGGTTCAGGGGGCATCTCATTTTATGGCCTCTAATCTCATTATTGGTGTGCTGCTGCTGCTTTTAAAAAATCCACTGCATATTGGCATTTTGCTTCAGTTGTGGAACTTCTAAAGACAGTGCCCAAGAAGGGCAGCTAAAATTGTTCTTGCCTAATCCTTGACCATTTACCTCCCCAGCTGTGGGGAAAAGCTCTGTATGGTTGCTTCTTGCAACCCCTTTTACCTTCACTAGGAAGGACTAGTGAAGGAGACCACATGCCTATGGCCAGTCCTGTAATGGGAAAATAATTTTAAATAGTGTGACTACCCTTGCTGATCTTTCTGTAAAAATCCCTGAGAAAACACAGAGAGCCACCTGCCAATACTAATTAAAATGTAAATGATTAAATACTGCAGCTAGCTCATAAGGTTGGTCAGTCATGTTAATAAGGTGTAAAGTAGTGTTTTGACTTTGGATCAATGAGGCAAGGGACTCCTTCCAACCAATCAATGTTAATTGTATCCGGTGGCTAGTTTTCTTGGCTAATGGGAGAATTCTTTTATATTGTGATAACAATACAAATCTTCATCTGCATCGGGGAATGGCTATTTTACAGCCTCCATCTTCCCACACCTATGGGAAGCATTCAAGTGCCCTGCTTTCCTATCTATACAAAGACATGATTTAATATGTAATAGGTGCAGGGTGAGAACAGTACAGAGACGCTGGTAAATAGCTTTTGTTCAGTTTATATAATTAGCAAGATCAAATAGTAAAGCACTTCCGGGATTGTACCATTTCAGTGTGTGCATCTTGTTGGTGTGTGTGTGGGGTGTGTGTGTGCATTTACAATTTTGAGTGGTCTTCCATGAGAAGAGGGGAGTGGGGAAGCTTCCTTCACATGGAAATAGCATATCGGACTACTCTTGTGTCTCATGTAATAGTTTCATATATGCATGTATTAGGAGCTGTCGATATAGGTGACCTGACCACTTGCAGTTTGAAATGGTTCAGTTCAGGAAACACTTTATCACAAGAATCTGCTGGATATGAGTTTTGTAGATACATTTTGGTAACCATGTACAGCTTTCCAATCCCATAGACCTTTTGTGGAGGCTTCGTTGTATCTTTAGCCATTAATAATGCAACGGAGGCATTAAATATGGGTGGAGAGTATTTGAAGAGGTTGCTTATATTTCCATTTGACACTATTTCTATTTGAAAGCATTGTGCATTTTTCTTTAAAAAAAATTGCCTCAGAGAAAGTATGTAATTCCAATGAGCAAAGCAATTTCTGAAAAAAAACAGAGTTAAAAGAATGCTGGTTTTGCAAAACTTCCCCTCTTTCTATATAGATCTATTAACACTCTGCTGGCTATTCACACACACTCCCCTGAGACTGTCTGCAGTAGAAATGCAGATATTTGGCATCGGCAAGGCCCCTTGCTGTCAACTAGTCTAATGTTATGGGTAGGTTTTTAGAACACAGGCCATACACGTTGCCATTAAAACAGGATCAAAGCAGAAATGGCAAGAAAGGATGATCAAAGGGAAGAATCAGATGGGAATAAAAAGCGCTGTCACTTCACCCATCTCAACAACTGAAAGGAGCTGAAAGAAATGTAAAATAATTCAGCCCCACCTTCACTAGAACTGGCAACTACTACCAGTATAAGCAGCACTTCCAATTAAAATTTACTTGTAACTAAAAAGGTATTTTGCATCACTGAGACCATATTTCAGGCTGCACAACTGGTGGTTTGGGAAGCAAAATGTCAGTCATGGCCAGATCCCCACTCTCACAACACACACACACACACACATGGCCCACAGCATCTCCTGGAAAGGATCTATGGGGCTGAAAGTGTATTTCAAAAACATTTTACTATTTTGCCCTCTCAAGAGATAGGTTCAAATCTCAATGGGATGTCTCAGGAAATACATCCCTTCCTCAGTTTACCAGCCAGGGATCTTATATTCCGTCAGTGAACATGGTCCATCACTGTAAAGCTTATAGTGTTAGACGGTGCTAAATTTATACAGCACAACTAGACATCAGCAGTTTAGTTTGTTCAAACACCCTGAGTAGTGCCTGGAGATCAATCTTTGGGAACACAGAAGCTGCCATTTCTGCTGAGTTTGAAACATCCTACTCACTGGCTGTTTCTAGTCTAGCTAGTGGCTTGTTTCTAGTCTAGCTAGTGCAAACTGGTTTAAATCCATCAATGACAGTGCAGATCCATTGCCTTCTCAGCATTTCTGGATCTGACCATTAATTCAACACTCCCTGTCACCAACAGACCTACCTTGACTGGGCCTTCCCCTCAGAATGATCAGGATCACACTTAACTGTTCTTTTCATTATTTGCGATTTCCCCATGGTCTAGGACTTAGACTAATAATGTACACCAGATATTGCAGAATCATAGAGTTGGAAGGGACTCATCTTGTCTAGTCCAACTTCCTGCAATGCAGGAATATGCAGCTGTGTCTTACAGGAATTGAATCTGCAACCTTGGCGTTATCAGTACCATGCTGTAACCAACTGAGCTATATGGCAGGTGTTGTTACTGGTACCCCTACTTTCAGCAGTATCACCAACAAGAAAGTCAAGTAAATTGACTGAGTAATCTCAGCAATTTAGTTAGGGTTGCTTGGTCCCTGCTCCTGCCAACCTAGCAGTTCGAAAGCACGTCAAAGTGCGAGTAGATAAATAGGTACTGCTCCGGTGGGAAGGTAAACGGCATTTCCGTGCGCTGCTCTGGTTCGCCAGAAGCGGCTTAGTCATGCTGGCCACATGACCCTGAAGCTGTACGCTGGCTCCCTCGGCCAGTAAAGCAAGATGAGCACCGCAACCCCAGAGTTGTCCGTGACTGGACCTAACAGTCAGGGGTCCCTTTATCCCTTTCCCTTTATTGCTGTTACCAGCAATATACCCCTCTTCCCTCCTCCTATAAATGTCTCTCCAGTAAACATCTTTTACACAGTCCTTTACATTTGGCTACCACAGAAAAGTTTTATTAATTTTGTAATGGCCATGAACATTAGGAAAATCAAGTGTTTGCTGGCCTTATGGCTCAAGGGCTCAACTGCCAGGTACCCTTAATTCAGAATAAAGACACTTACCAATAGCTTGATTGCAATCACTTTATTTACAAAGTCTTTAGAACTGTTACACCATCCAAAAGGCCAGGCCTTTGGTTCAATTAAAATTTAGTTCAACAGAGTCTCAATTGATCAGTTTAACTATCGCTATATAGAGAAAATGTTATCTATGTTTAAAGAACTATTTCCCTTGATAGCACAAGATTTCACAAGACCCCTGCTGTTTCTCAGAATACATCCTTCATTATTATTTTTATTCTGAGGGGAAGAGGGGAAACATGATTAATTAAATGTGAGAAATTTCATCTTTAGCCTTTTTCCATCTTATGCCAACCCAGAACTTAGAAACAAAGGTTACACTATTGACTGTAAATATAGTGTCTCAGTGTTGCATACTGAAGGGCATTTGGCCATTGATATCTGTTGAAATCCATTGTGTGTTTCTCTGAAACTCAGTGTGCAACATGTATCCAAGTAATGGGCGCTGAAACAAAGAAAAGAAATGGACCCTATTTCAGTGCCAGCCGGGGTGTAGCATGTGGCGGCTACTGGGGCAATGATGTCAGGCACATTTTTTAGGAGGTGCTGCACATTTGGCTCCTCGTGCCACCCTGCCAGTCCTGCGCCACTCTGCGAGGCTGGGATCTGATCTGAATGATTTGCCAGGTGAATCCTGTACTGTGTTAGATGGCCCCTTGCTTTGTTTCAGTTTTCTTTCTTCGTTTTTGCAGCTCAGTGTTCCTGTGGCGTGAATTTTGCAGGTATTCTATCAGATTTCAGATATATAGGATAAGGGGTTTTATATTTTACATGCAATCCGAAAGGTGCACAGACACAACCTAACTGCTATTCAAACTAAATTGAGCTTTCCACTCTATTAATTTCATTGAGTTATCTCTTCTTCCACCTCTTCCCCTGAACTTTCAGTACATAGAGTTCTAGTCTATTTCTTCAATGCAAAGCAATACCTCCAGAGCAAAGTAGTTAAAAATAAATCCATACATAAATGTTTGTTTCATTTGCACTCTTTCAAAACCTCATTGGTTTTTATTATAAAAGCAAATGAATGGAGGGGGTCCTTTGTTTTGTTTTTCATTCACTCATAAAATGAAAAACAGCTTGTATCAGACCCACTGACTTTTGTCTGCCTACAGTATGAACATGGGGGCAGTTTCTGTGGTGCTGCCCATGGCCCATGGTGCCCTGAGAAAATGTGAGAGTGGGAGTAACTTCAAATACTGCTTCTCAAATTTGTAAGGCCAGACCAAAGGTTTATATTAGTTTAATATTTTAATTTGGTTTAATAACCAAATAATACTACTAATAACATGATTAAGGAAAAATAATAACAAAGGAAATGCTAATTATCCTGGTTCCTTTCCATGTACAAGATCAGAATTTATTCCAATCAAGATATCAGCAAGAGGTATGCAAGCAGATTGTTAAGCTTCAGTTATTGTGTTTATTTCCTTGCAGATATCCTTAGCACCCTGATCTCAGCATGGCCTCATGCTGCTCTTAGAGAGCTTTGGGGCTTTCAGTGGAGGGATTCAGCACTTCTCAGAGTATATGTGAGTCAGGAATGTGTAATTAATATCTCAGATGATAAGTATGCATGCACTGAAATCTAGCAGCCTCAGGGCTTTCTTTGTTATGCTATCCTGCTCTCATACCCACATTTGCAAGAAAATTGGAGAACCCTTTCAGAATTGGACTCTCTCAATTATTTCTGCAACTTTAAGAAAACCCTCATCATTCCAAGCCGCATAAAATCAAATTAAACCCTTCTCCCTGTTATCTGTGCTGCACCATACAAATGGTGGTCTTCTTGTGGATTAACACTGGAATTCCTCATATGACTTCTTTCTATAATTAAATAAGCTGTAATGAAATTCAGCTGAACTAGTCAACTATCCACAGGGTAGAAATTAATGAAAATAGCTTGATCCTTTTTGACATCATTACCATGTTTCAGAATATGTGTGGACAGCATTAAGGAAATCATTGCCAGAAAAAAAAGAAAGACATCAGATTGTTCTTTCAAGATTTAGAGACTGTTATTGAAGACGTTTTGAGCAACGGCATCGCTGCACATTTGTTGTCAAATAGAAGATTGTTCAAAGTACTTTGCTGATGCAGACACCAATGATGCACTCAAGGCACTTTACTGGTTGGAACAACACTGAAGAGGAAAGTGTTTGTGCCACCAGAGGATTCAGAACCTCACAGAGCAATCTGCAAACCTTTGGAATAAAAGTTAATGAGACCCAGGACCAGCGTGCTGGTTCTATGCATTTGCTTCAACTAAAGCACAAACATCCTAACCCTCAGAAAGTAGGCCAGAGCCACCTGCAAAAACAACTACCCCCTACCTGTTCCCTCTTTTTTCTCTTTCTTTTTTGGTAGAATCCTGAATTTTGTCTTGGCCTTCTGTCTTGACGCAAGACCATGCCTGGCCCCATCCCTGCAGCTCAACTTGAATGGCACCCTTATGTAATTCAAAGGGTAAGGGAGGCACTGGGGAACATTCCTTTACTGAAGATGGCTTCCAACACTATCACAAGTGCCCTTACGCTGGAGGCAGGCCCTGTTTCAACATTCTAGGCAGAGGGAAACAACAAGACACACAAATGGGCACTAAAGTAGCTTATTTGCATGCCTGCGTTATATGTATTGAATCCTCCATTCAAGCAGTCATATTCGATGGCTGCTAGCCACAATGGCTATTGTTATAACACACTTGTAGCATATTAACTCACCAGGGTAGATGAGTCTATGGGCACCATGAAAGCCTTCATGGGTGCCAGTTTAGTGACCCCTGCCCTAATAAATTCACTTTTTTAAAAAAACTGGCTTTTTGCAGTTAGGAAGTTTGCTGAAAAGTGTGGGCACTAATGATGAATGGGAAGATGCATAAACCCTGCACAAGAAAATCAGGGTGAATTTAGGGTGAATGCTCATAGTCACATAACCTCCTGCAAACAAATCAAAATGAATACTCAATAAAGGCCAGACATAGTCTAACCCCCACGTAGGGCATCATATGACAGCCATGTTTATTTGTATGACATCTCCACCCTGGCATTAAACCTATTTTACTGTTGTATCTGGTATCCAGGTCATCTTTTGCTCTTCCCTCATTTGCCGGAATTTCCCTCATTGTTTTGCATCATACTCTGCAATAGCCACATTTAAATAAAGAGAAACAACAACTGATGCCCACATGTCACCGCACTGTCAAATCCAAGTCAAAGTGATATAGGCTTCCTGACCTTAAAACAAGTAAGAAAGAACATTTTAGATTTCAAGCAGATCAGGATGAAAGCTACCTGTTTACCAGTGGCTGGTATGCGTCTTTAAAAACAAAAGAGTGTTACAAAACTGCTGCTATTCAAAATCACCCACCCAACATTTATTTATTTTTTTATTAACAATTTCATCATAACAAAGTATCAAAACATATCATATTCATTATTCCCCCCCTTTTTCCCACCTCCCCATCGAACCCTCCCCCCCAAGACTTCCCTCAGCTCCTCCCTCTGATCTCTCAGCACATATTATTCTCTGCATACTTTAAAATTGTCTAAATCCTTGTATTATCTGTCTAGTATGTTAACAATCAATAAATTTGTGTATGTTTATTCAAAACCTGCCAAGGAGTCCAATTCATTTTGGGGTTTTTTAATTTGTAATTTGTAAAAAGTTCCCATTCTTCTTTGAAGTCATAGTCGTCCTTATCTTGCAGTTTGTATGTCAGTTTAGCCAGTTCTTCATAGTTCATCAATTTCCCTTGCCACTGTTCTTTTGTCAGGACTTCCTTATTCTTCCATCCTTGTGCTATCAAGACTCTTACCACTGTTGTTGCATACATAAATAAGTTCTTTGTTTTCCTTGGCAGATCTTGTCCTACAATCCCTAACAAAAATGCTTTTGGGTTGTTGTTTTTTTACAAATGTCATTTTAAATATTTTCTTCAATTCATTAGATATCATTTCCCCCTTTTTTAATTTCTCTACATTCCCACCACATATGATAAAAGGTCCCTTCCTTTTCTTTACATTTCCAGCATATGTTTGACTCGGTTTTGTACATTTTTGCTATCTGTACTGGTGTTATACACCATCTAATGTGATGATAGACAACATGATACTGATGGACATTAGGCTCTGATGAATGTTGACTTATGCAGTGCCTACCAGGCTAGTTTGAGGACCAACAGGGGCAGTTTGTATATATTTTTGGGTTTTGCCAGAGTAAAGCAAACTGTTCGAGTTTTGAGATTGCTGGATAAAATAGCTAAGAGACTTCTGGCTGGCAAAACCAGGTTTTTAGCAATCTTTGGGACTGATGCTATTTTAGAAGTGGCATTGCTTGCTTATGTGCTTATCCTGTGTATTTCCAAATACATATGACAAAGTACAGTTTTAAACTTTGCTCTCTCCTCCAATAAATAC